TCACAATTTACACTGAATGATGTTTATACCATTGTTTGATGCAACTGCATGCCGTATTTTTATATGAAAATAAACAAGCTGAAAACACTAACTGAAAAACCTTTAGTGCTTTTCTATAGTATTAAGCCTCAAATGTCAACTATACATCGGATTTGTTTCTTCTTTAAATTATAAAAAAAAAAAATATGAATGGTATTATAATGTTATACTAAAACTAAAACAATGGAAAAACCCTTAAGATAACATGTAGAAAAAAAAACATATCTTAAGCGTGCAGAATAACGTAAGTGGACTTTGAACGATTAATTGCCGCTTTGAACGATTACGTAATTGTGGCATCCATAATTGTAATCGCGATAAAAATTTCGATTAATTGTGCAGCCCTAGTTTATAGTATTTTAAGGGTTCCTAAAATACATTTATTTATTTATATTTTTATTTAATTATTATAAATACAATGTTATTATTAAATAATATTTTATTTATTATTATTATCTATTATTATTATTATTATTATTATTATTATTATAATCACCCGGATCCATAATTTTAAAGACATTATTTAATGACACTGTATGATTCTTATTTTACTAAAACAATGCTTGCTTTGTTATAAATGTATCTTTACAAATTGTATATCCACAAATGTAAGTTCACTAATAACAATTAACCGATTGTTTCCCGATCTTTTTGAAAGAATTTAAAACGTATCTCAACATAATTTCATCTTCAGTTAAATAAAAAAGCAAGCAGAACGACGTCCATTTGCAATGACTTTTAATTTGTATACTCAAATTGATGTATGTTTTTTCTGTCTTCTACTTTTTTTTAAAGGGGTCATATGATGCTGCTAAAAAGAACATTATTTTGTGTATTTGGTGTAATGAAATGTGTTTATGCGGTTTAAAGTAAAAAAAACACATTATTTTCCACATACTGTACATTATTGTTTCTCCTCTATGGCCCGCCTTTTTGAAACGCGTCGATTTATCTTCAGTTAAATAAAAAAGCAAGCAGAACGACGTCCATTTGCAATGACTTTTAATTTGTATACTCAAATTGATGTATGTTTTTTCTGTCTTCTACTTTTTAAAAAATATATATTTTTCAGTCTTTAGCAAATTATTGAAAACTCTTTTTCTCTGTATTCTGCTGACAGTATTTCATCCAATTGCCCCCTTTGTCATCACTTTGAAGAAACAATTACCCACTTATTTTGAAATGGTGTTTATTGCAAAAACAAATTGTTAAAAGGAATTTATCCCCAAACCTTTGTATTAGCCTTGTGTTTTTGTTTTGTTTTGTTTTTTTTATAATTTTCTTCGGATACATTATGTTTTTGTGTGTTTGAAATGAGTAAAAAGTCTACACTCGTAAAAAGCGTTCATAAGTATTATCTGATGAGTAAGAATGAAAAATGAGAAAAGATAATGATTAAAAAATTCAAATTCAAATTGAGTTTATTTCACCTGCTGGTTTCAGCGGAATGAGATTACATGCATTTACATGTGTTTAACTTGTGTCACCAGCAGGGGGAGATATAGTACAATTGATAATAATTTTCTAACTTCTCTCGTAGTTTTGATGCAACCCAGAAAGAGGGGGGCTTCAAAAAGGAAAACAAGATTTAAAAAGTTGTGTCGTTTTATTTCATTATCCACAGTGTGCATCCTATGTTCCAAATGCAGTTATGTTGTTATTTTATAATTACCACTGAAGCCACAAAGGAATGTGTGTCTTAAATGATTGAACACAGACAGTTGTGTAGTTACATTGAGGTTCAGTTCACTCAGCTGCATTAGTCTACATTAGACTGCATAACACTAATCAGAGGGCTTGAGGCTCTCTCTCATTCTCTCTCTGAGAAACTGAGGGAACCTGAAGCTCATTATCTCACTTGATTTATGCAATCTAAGGTGAGTAAAATACTGTAATGGATCAGATCAATGTGTATATGAATCTGTTTCTCTGTGTTCACAAGCTGTTTATGTTCATACTGCAATATTCTTCTACACAGAACAGAAAGAAAGGAAAAAAGAAAAAAAATCAGAGGTAGAGAGAGAAACAGTAGCCTAAGTGATTCTTCACTTATCATGGTTTGCATTGCAATATCAAAGCACAGTATGCACAATAGACAGCTACAGGTCTTGTGGCATCTGTCATATTCTCTCTGCCAGCATAATGTTCAAATGGCTCTCCTCCAGTATGTGTCTGCTTGAGTATTGAATATGTGAGCATGTGCATGATTAATTATTAGATTATGCTGTTCATAATTATAATATCAATATTTACCCCACCATATGCTGCAGACACACAGGGGTGCCCCTCTCTCCTCGTCACAATGGCTTTCCCACCAGGAGGAGAGAGCAGGCTAACGTTTGGCAGGTATCACTCTAATGCTCTTAGCCATCTGCCAGTCGCCTGGGCTCTCCCCATAAGAACATAATGTTTCTGATTACTGGGTTAATTTCAACACAGTTTGGCACAGTGGAGATTCTGCAATCTCTTGCTGCAGTTAGCACGTTTGGCCGCCAGCCATCATGCTGCCAGCCTCCAGCCCGGTGTTGAATAGGTTTGGGTTTAGCCAAAGGGGCTGATTCAGAACAGTGGATCCTGGTGAATACTATGATCGTCTATATTTTTACATTCACTGATTTCTTCTCTGCCAGATTTAGGACATCACAGATCGCTTTATGTAACAGATCAAAATGATATTTTCAGCCCTTTGTCAGTGCTGTTTTTCCATTCATGCTGTTTATTGGTGGATATCTGCTTCTTTTATAGATAGCTATGCCTCCCTCATGTACACATAACTTATCTTGTTTAGTCTTTTGAACTGGCATCTGTATTGCCCTGCTTTTAGTCTCCATAAGCTGTATTGCTGCTTTCTATTTCCACAGCCGGCCTTATGAGTGAATGACCTTGCCAATTGCCCCCTTTGTCATCACTTTGAAGAAACAATTACCCACTTATTTTGAAATGGTGTTTATTGCAAAAACAAATTGTTAAAAGGAATTTATCCCCAAACCTTTGTATTAGCCTTGTGTTTTTGTTTTGTTTTGTTTTTTTTATAATTTTCTTCGGATACATTATGTTTTTGTGTGTTTGAAATGAGTAAAAAGTCTACACTCGTAAAAAGCGTTCATAAGTATTATCTGATGAGTAAGAATGAAAAATGAGAAAAGATAATGATTAAAAAATTCAAATTCAAATTGAGTTTATTTCACCTGCTGGTTTCAGCGGAATGAGATTACATGCATTTACATGTGTTTAACTTGTGTCACCAGCAGGGGGAGATATAGTACAATTGATAATAATTTTCTAACTTCTCTCGTAGTTTTGATGCAACCCAGAAAGAGGGGGGCTTCAAAAAGGAAAACAAGATTTAAAAAGTTGTGTCGTTTTATTTCATTATCCACAGTGTGCATCCTATGTTCCAAATGCAGTTATGTTGTTATTTTATAATTACCACTGAAGCCACAAAGGAATGTGTGTCTTAAATGATTGAACACAGACAGTTGTGTAGTTACATTGAGGTTCAGTTCACTCAGCTGCATTAGTCTACATTAGACTGCATAACACTAATCAGCGGGCTTGAGACTCTCTCTCATTCTCTCTCTGAGAAACTGAGGGAACCTGAAGCTCATTATCTCACTTGAATTTATGCAATCTAAGGTGAGTAAAATACTGTAATGGATCAGATCAATGTGTATATGAATCTGTTTCTCTGTGTTCACAAGCTGTTTATGTTCATACTGCAATATTCTTCTACACAGAACAGAAAGAAAGGAAAAAAGAAAAAAAAAAAAATCAGAGGTAGAGAGAGAAACAGTAGCCTAAGTGATTCTTCACTTATCATGGTTTGCATTGCAATATCAAAGCACAGTATGCACAATAGACAGCTACAGGTCTTGTGGCATCTGTCATATTCTCTCTGCCAGCATAATGTTCAAATGGCTCTCCTCCAGTATGTGTCTGCTTGAGTATTGAATATGTGAGCATGTGCATGATTAATTATTAGATTATGCTGTTCATAATTATAATATCAATATTTACCCCACCATATGCTGCAGACACACAGGGGTGCACCTCTCTCCTCGTCACAATGGCTTTCCCACCAGGAGGAGAGAGCAGGCTAACGTATATCAATATTTACCCCACCATATGCTGCAGACACACAGGGGTGCCCCTCTCTCCTCGTCACAATGGCTTTCCCACCAGGAGGAGAGAGCAGGCTAACGTTTG